TTTGTAATCCATGCTTTGTAATTCATGCCAGCTTGTCTCTGTAATTTCACACATTCTTCTATGATGATATAATGCTATAAGTGTCCTTGGGTGTCCTGAAAGGCGCTTTTCAAATAAAATGATTATTATAATATTATTATTATTATTATTCATATAAATTTAGAGTTATTAAGTTTGTAGATGTTTTTAATTGTAGTTATATTTTACATCATTTCCTTTGGCCTAACAATATCTCCTCGTTGTCTTTTGTCTCCTCATCTTTCAGGAGTCAGGAAAGTTTGCTGAAGGCCTCCATGCCTGGACTGTACCGCTCTGAGTCTCAGCTCTACCCGCACATCGTCTTACAGAGGGTCCCAACTCCGACTGCACCCTCCGCCCCTTCGGCTCCGTCCGCTCCCGTCTACCTTCATCTTCCCCCCTCGTCGTCAGCCGCCACCTCGCCGTCGCACACCGCTGCTCAGGGCCAACCACGGATCGTCACACAGTACCCAACGCCGACCTATCCGCCAAACCCCAACACGGCTGTGCCCGCCTATCCCCACCCGACACCGGCGCCCATTTACCCCAACCCCAACRTGCCACCGCAGAGGCCGTGGCAGTAACTTCGTCTTCCAGCTCTCGTTTTCAGGGCTGTTCCCTCTTGATCATGCCGAAGGAACTCAGAAAAAGAAAACGTCACAGGCACGTTTCRGAGACATGTGACGTCTTTTTACTGCTTCTTATTCCAGATTTTCCACACAYAGAAGTCTGCAAACACCCTGCTCCAACGCAGACATGAAGAACATGCAGGGACAGAAGCCCCTTTTTGAAYCTGCCCTGCTGTTAGAGCTCAACAGGAAGTGGTCTTTTTCTTTTTAATTCAGCACATTGCAGCTGCAAGAGGCGATCTCATCAGAAATCTTCATCAAACCGATGARGAGGGAGAAGCAGGAAGTTGTGCACTAAAGTTTGTCTTTAATAAATATTAAAGACAAACTTGTTAGGAAAACCTGTTTAGGCAGCTTCAGGAAGATGATTTTTTAGATAAAAATCCTTGTCAGTTTTTAAAAAGTTCCCACCTATTTCAGGTTCTGTTGAGCTAACCTAGCTTTAGCTAAACCACTGGATGTTATATTTTGTCTTAACCTGCTCTCCTTGAACAGAGCTGCATGACTTCTTGAATAAATTGATCGATTTTGATATTTTCTGAATTTCTTCAAGTACACTGTGATTAAAACAATGTTGCATTACTGGGACGGAAATTTAATGTGATCCTCCTAAACTAATCCTTGCCTTCGCACCTGGACAGTTAAATGTTGTTCTGCACCTTTTCGTCACCCGACCAAAGCTTGTTCTGTCATCATTTCATCCGGTGGTTAGGACTTCCCGACATCGCCTTCCTGGAGACATGATTTTTTATTTTGTCCTACATACACACTAGAACATTTCTAAAGGGTGCCAAYGCAGCTATTGTCCAACACATCACATAACAACTGTTTTTAAAAAGTCCTATAATAATTTGGRACGTACAAACTGTCAAACTCTATTTGACATATTATTGATTTATCAACTAAAAAGTGTAAAATCAAATGAAAAATTAAAGCTTTTGCCATTAGCTCAAAAGGGTCACCATGGTAACGCCCYATCTGTGTCTGTCACTCCCTGWYGKCACMCTTAAAAAGACATAAATACAGMCCAGAACATGGACYTCACTMAMTGTAGAAAATAAGTTTTATTAATAACATTTTTGGATTGTAAAGGGCAGGGCTTTTTTTTACGCCTACAGTGTTTTATAAATGAGTTTAAAAKAAATCAGTCACTTCCAGCTCTAAAAAGAAACATTTGAGCACTAATGCAATGGAAGTCAATGAGAGTTTGGATTCTTGTGTGTGCACAATCCTACGGCAGCGAGAGACACAAAARAGTAAAGTTGTGGAAGTAAATTTAACTTTTAGACAGTTCAAAAGATGCTCAAGTTATAGGAAGGTATACGTTTTCTTGTATTTTAAAATGAYTGAAAAACAGATTTGATTTCACAAGGGTATACATTTTATATTTTTGCTTTTGTTTCTTATCTTCCCTCCAGCTTTCTGAAGCCCCACTAGCATCCCCTGGCAGCTGGCACCCACTTTGAAAAACATTGATCTAGACCATAATGCACTGCAAAATATACTGATTTGTGCATGCAAATTAGTATTTGTAAAAAGGTCAATTTGGGCATTTTTAAGAAAATTTTGCAAATTATTTGTGTTTTTTAAAGTGCTGGTACCAAAAGGATCATCCCTAGGTAGCGTGGATTCCTGTTACCCGGTACAATGCCTGCACTGTAATTCACAATTTTTTCCCCATATGTWTTAAAAGACATTTGAAAGGGCAATGTAATCATGACTCATCAATCTTGGGAGAACATAGGTATGAGCCCAGTACCAAATTTCATAGACTGTTCCCAACCGACTCGAACATTTAAATAACCTGGTCCTTGCCTTCTTATGCAGTTCCGCTTGATTCTAATCTTCCTTCTCTGCTTCGTCTGGGATTTCTCCCATTAACTTGAATTTCTCGGGTAGAATTTAAACCAGACCATCAGCAAAAAGAAGGCGATGTTCTGAACGATGACGCTGATTTTCTGCACCGTTTTAGTCTACCTGTAGTTTAGCAATGGCAGCGGAGGAAGTGAATGAAGCCAGTCTGTGTTGACAAGGTTTACAAATTAAATTAAAGTTGTCTCACAAAGTCTACAGCATCATTTTGTTCGGCCCAGGGKGTGGTTGTTTACAGCACATGCAATTTCAGGTTAGCTTCTTAGCTTAGCCTTCTTCACGGTTGAGGTGTCGCATTGCATACGTCACAGCAACWGGGTAAATCAAATTCAGTCATTTTAAACTTCAACAGAGTCCACGTCTCCAGCAAGAAACTGTTTCTCAACAGCCGAGAGTCCAGACCCAAGCAAAGCAAAGAGAAGAACAAGGAGCTGGTTTTTATCAGGCTAACATTTAGATTTTTTTCTAAAGCTGCAGGAGGAGTAACAAATCAAAAATAATGAAGAACATGGAAAATTAATAAATAGTATTMAGGGTGTGTCACTGTTTATGAACTGGTACTGTTACATCCATTATAAGATTTTACGTTTTAGAACAATATCTTRCACAAACTGTCAGACTGCCGTTTCATACTTGATTCACTTGCAAAAGCACTAAACTGACGTGTAATGTTGAAGCATTTATATAGACTTTCTCAGTTTTTTCAACTGCGTGCGTGCATTTAAATGTTTTGTTTTTAATAGAATATTTTGAACAGAAGCACTAATAAATTTACCTTCATTTTTTGGTTAAGCAACTTGGTCTTGACAGTCATCCTATGAACTATTTCTGTGTAACAACAGGACTGTGAATAAAGCTGAAGCTCAAGTTCATGTTTTTTCAACGTGTTCTATTTCTGATAATTAAGAAAGTCAGGCTGAATGAAAAGAAAGGACAGTGGAGGAAAATTGATGAGATTTCATTCATCACTGTGTCGTGACCTCATCCTTTTTTTAGAGCAACACACTGGTAGCAAGAAAATGAAGTGGTTTCAGTGACGCGACTGACTTGTAGATTGGGACCGAAGCAAAYGTTAACTGAATCCAGCAGTCTGGCTTTATATTAAAATTGCTTTTGTGAAAACGTTTGAAGAAATCTGTGTGGATTCTTTCCTCTCTTTATTGAACTGGATGACATGAAATATGCACTTACAAAACTGTTAACCACGCCGAGAGAGAATGGTCTGATTTGGATGTACACCTCCAGACCAGTGATGGGTATGGAAATGATTTGGTTTGCAAAGAGAGGACACGTCTAGAGCAGACACTAGAGGACATATTGCATCACAAGTGGAGTGACAGAGCCCTACAAGCGGTTAGAACAGGAAGCTATCAGAAACAGAGGACRCCTCATTGACACATTGCCCTCAATGGGAAATTTGTCTTGCCCAGTTCTGGCCCACACAATGTGTTTACATTAAAGTTAGCCCAGATACAGCTACGAATGATGGCCCTTTGGCAGCCCAGATGTGGTTTGCCAGAGGTGGACCAACACCACATAAACTAATCCACAATTGGGCCAGTTGTGGCATGCCATCTTACATAAAACAGTGCCATCACTGCCAGATATGGCCCACATCCGGTTGACATGCCAGCAATGTCAATTTGACATCAGATCTGGCCCACACATKYCTGCTAYGTTGGTGGGCTGCCTTACTAACRCTTTAGTTTTTTAGCTCACATGTAGAGAGTACAGATGACTTAGTGCCCTAATGTTGGAACCAAGTTRGTAAATAATGGGACCCACACACAGAAAGGTTTTGGTCACCCAAGAAAGACCACACCAAGAGAAGATRGTCACATTTGGCACCAAGCATCACAGAATGCCTTCTGCACCTGCCATTAAGACACATTTATTTGACCCTTTAAAACACCCCTGCACCAGATCTCAGTGATGGTATCTAGGATCAATATACCACTTAAAGACTAAAATCAACACCATTTCAGAAACAGCTGCATTAGAGGGGTTTCCATAACCATGTCGTGGGTTGATAACAGTGTTATAATGCAGAAGTTYTGAATTATTGTGCAGAGTGAAGCCAAAGCCCAGACCTCAGCCCAAGAACCGATTCAAAGACGGTTGAACACAAGCAGCACCCAAGCTGAACAAGCTGTTGTGTTCATTCATTGCCCTCYGTCGCCRAGGACTTAGAAATGCTCTCCGTCCATCTGTCCGTCCGTCCATCCRTTACAACTACAGAAAGCTGTAACTTTCACATACGCAGAAAGGCTAAAATACCCCAAACTTGGTATGAGTAATCAAAGTTGCATGCCCGACCATACCATGTGGTCATGTGCTGACATCATCAAAGCCCAGCCCCCTGACAACAGGAAGTGACCATTTTCTTTGGCTTGGAACGATCCATCTCTGACCCTCTTGACCTAATCAACAACAAATTGTGTCAGAACACAGATAAGARCRTGATCTCACTTGCTTTCAAGCACARAGACTTTTTGGTGAAAGGCGTGGTCATGGCGGTGCAGCAAAGTCAGACATCACGCTGTTGACATATGTTTRGCTCTAAATTCCACATATTTCAGCAAATCTGCACCCAATTCACTATGCTTGATCTTAACCCACCCCACTATACGAATGCAGTCCAATTTTTTTGTGGATGTGGCCTAATTCTTCCACAGCGCCCCCTATAATTATTTTAAAAATCWGCCCCAAGTCATGCTTTGACCTAGAATCATGAACTTTGCTACGTGTCATGGTCCAAACCCCACAGGAAGTCGGCCATTTTGGATCAAAGCTCAACACATTTGTGTATTTTTGGCAAGACCACTTAGACCCCCATCCGTCCATCCATTCACCTTATGAGAATTTTAAATAATGAAGTCCTGTGATGATTTCAACATAACTGTTAACAGTTGGTCAACAATGAGTGGTGACGGGGGACATCAGTGACGGTTGGCATCAAGTTCTATCTTGTTTCTTTTCGGCATAAAATCCCAGAGCTACATGTTGATTTTTTGGAGAYGTTATCAATGAGACTTAATGCTAAAGTGCCACAAAACACTGTATATCAAATGAAACACTATTTTATTTTAAAATGCCCTTATACTGTATAAGAGATTAAGACAACAAGTGCACCAAATATAATTATTTTACTGTTTGTATCTTTGCAGAAGAGTGGAAGTTGTAAGTTTGAAGGATTTGGACCAAAAATTGCAGGGCTAAATAAAGAAGCAATAGAACAAGAAAGTAATTGGGTCAACTGTGAACAAATGAAGTTGGTTGCTTTGTAAAAATATTCTTGTATTTAAAAAAATCCTTTTTTGCTTTTCTTGGAGAAACCAACACCACTAAACACCRGTTCATTTGTTTCATGCCTGGTCAATTCAGAATTGTGTGAAAGGCAGTTTGCATGTTGTGAAGGTCAGGGTGGAGCTTTCGGTCAGGAGCTACAAGTCACAGAGCAGACTGATTTAATAAACTGAGACTTGGAGAGAGAAAAACATTAGTGGGGAGGTAAGTTTTGCAGYTATTTTTTGGCATTTTTCCCCCTCGCTTACAAATACCTTTCCTCTGATAAAATAGCTCATTTATTAGCTACTAGATGTAGTTCCTAAAAAACTGTATAAAGCTTTGAAAAATAACCAGTATTTGCATTGTATTGGA